GATGCAACTGAGCTAACATTGCTTCCAGTTCCTCCATCTCATTCCTTTTCGTAACATTCTATGTACATTTATACTCATTAATGGTAAGAAAATAAATCCAAGGGGGAAATAAATTCCACATTCTCATATTTCATAGGGACACTGCCTTCTGTCTTTAATTCCAAACCATTTCCAAGGTTCCTTACTGATTTTTCCAATGCAAATAGCTTTCAGGATTTGTTTTTCATAGGAAAGAAGCAGCTATGGCTACAAAGCCCAACTTTCACTTGAGATTGATGGAATTAACAAGTAAGATAATACCTTATCAAAGAAAAGAAAGTTGTCCAGGAAGCAGTGGCTATCAGCCTCAGCCTCCAGAGTTCAGCTGCTCTGCTGGAGGTTTGCAGCAAGAATAATTCACTGTATTAAGGGCCAGAACAGATTCACAGCAAAAATCTCTTCCCTGTGCCAAACCTCACTCTAAATTAAACCAACATTCTTAAGTCTACCATGGAAGTAACTATTAGCTTTATTGGAATCATGATTTTGTTAACAAGAGAGGTTCAAAGCCATCACTTAACACCACTTCAGTTGCTGGGGGAGATCCCAACGGTTTGTCAGAGCATGAATGATGCATCTCAGGTCATAAAACCTTACCTGTTTCTCTAAGCTATCCATTTATTTCCCAATTATACCATTTGGCTTCATTAACATTAAATATAGGGCTTATATTAATTTTATCCTGCACTATATTAAGAGAAAATGCAGAAATATTTTGGAGGTGCAAAGTGTCACTGATGTTATTAAGGAACAGCCTGTGATTGCTTTGATGCACACTGGCTGTTTGCCAGAGCTCTAGTTGGATTTGACAAGTGATGTGCATCAGAGGAGCATATGTGCTACTAGAATAGAGCCAGGAGATGCTGCAAAACCTCAAAGATAGGACTTCTCCATGAGGAAATTATTTCTCCATGAAGAAATTCAGATCACACAAAAGGAATGAGTGACAGAAGCAAAATAAAACCAAATCTCATCAACGAAGCAGCAAAAATCCACATTCAACCACCAAGTCCATTACATGGATTGACCTGGAAACTCTGCTCAGAATAACCCTTAAAAAAATTCAGACCTAATGCTGGTGCACCTCATTTTAGTGTTATTAACAGACTCCATAATCATTTCACAGTCCAATTTCTGCATTTCAACCCCACTTTAGCCATTTGCTTTCTCCAACACCATTAAATACATTCACATATGAACATGGTGCCAACAGAAAGGGAGAATAATCACAGAAACACAACATTCCTGCACAGGAGAGGCATAAAGTAGTCCATAAATGAATTGGTGCTTGCCCAGGATTCAGGAAACAATATTGCCAGTACTACTAGAAATTAAACAGGAAAATAAAAGGGAGATAAATTGGTAGGATCCATCTGCAGGGACTTCTGTTCCCTTGGGAGAGTAAACAAGCTTTATCCCTAAAATAAATGCAAACACAGCCCAGTCTGACTGTTGTGGCATCCAAACAGAATCAAATCCTTAACCTGCTTCAAAATCTAAGCAGCAACTGGCACGAAGTCTGTGGGAATGTGTTTGGAGCTGTTCTCTCCATAGAAACAGCAACGTAGAAAAGTGGTAGATTATACCCTGAAAATATATCAAAGTATTCTTTAGAACGATTGCAAATGGGAAATAAACTGGTCCCAGTCTCTCCATCCTTTTCTGTAAGTCTGCTCCTCCTCATCCTCACTCTCTCCCATCCTCCAACCCTCGTCCCTCTTCACCCTCACCCTTGGTTGGGTGGAATCTGCTTCTTTCCAGGCTGTCTTTGCACCTGGAGCTTCAGAACCAGTGCAAAAAGCCCACACTGGCACAAACTGGGGAGTCCAAAGCTGTGTTTTACAAAAACACCTTGAAAATGGGAAGCCTGAGATACTCTGCTAAGTTTTCACATAAGGTATTCATCCCTTGTTTTTCCACTCACCTCAGACTAGCAGGGTTGGAGTAGATGATTAAGGTCTTTTCCAACACAAACCTTTCTTTGATGCTATAATAAGCTAAACAGCTACACCAGAGGATGAGAAGGAAATGCAGGTAGAATAGCCTAAAAACCTTAATAGGCAGAAGAGCATCTTTAATTTGGAGCAGTATCACCTGTTACTTGCGATAAATCCATACAAATTACAAACCAAAGGATATCACATGAAGTTGCTGTGAATATATCTGCAAAAAGAAGTGACATACAGAGCAGAGGTTAATCAACTAAGACTTCAATTTATGACTTTATTTTCTTTTACATTAAAAAAAATGACAACAGAACAAGGGTTGAAAAAGCCAAGTAAACTGATTCCACACACACACACTTGCTAAGTCACAGGGTTCGACTGCTTCAAGTGATAGTTTCTGGTTTTCATAATTAATGTACACAGTAAGAGCCTCATGACAAAGCCAGACACATTTTTTCCCTAATCTTTCAGGTGTGCAACTGAATCTGCACAGATTTCTGTGAAACTTCCAACCTTCCCCTCATTTCATACCACAGCTTTGATCATTTAACTGCAATTTCAGTGGATTCCCACCTGGAAATCCTCCAGCATTACCTCCCCAAGCAAACATATCCCAGAGTATTGCACAGTTTTGTTCACAGGGCCGTAGCTACTGCATGGAGCCCTCAGGAATTTCATCCCCCCAAGGGTCCAGAACATGCTGAAGGTGGAATCAGGATGCCACAAGCAGTTACACAGAGATGGAGAAGCAGATCACTGAGATCAGGTCCAGCTTCTGCAGGGTGTAAAGGTTCCAATGTAAGAGTCTTCAGCAAGTTGAACTGCTTGAGGTGGGACAGATCATCAGTGCCACTGGCTGAGCAAAAGCAACAACAGGACAGTTTTAAGGCAAGTCCCAAAACAGGGAGCAATTGACTTTCTAGGCACGATATCAAGCTCTGCATCAAGGCTCCTTTAGCCTTTCTATTGTCAGGAATTTAGATTAACAATGATACAAAAAATTGTCTAAATGTAATTTGGAAAGAATCCACTTTTAGCTGAATTTCATGATTTGTAGCTTGTATTTCATTCCAAGACTGAGAAACATTGCTTAGCACTCCTGTTGTTTGTCAGGCCCACGTAAAGCAGTTCTAGGTCTATATTGCTCTCATTACTTCCAAGTAGTTTTGCTTGGAAAATGGTTAAATTCAAAAGAATTCTTTCTATTGCAGATATTTCTACACTTAAGCTCTGTTGCACTTTAGAGGCAACTTCCCTCATTCCTCTGATGCCTTTGTTGAAGGGATTAACAGCTTTTCCTTCAGTGAAAAGGCTGTACAGTAAAAAAGGGGCAGAGCAAGACCATACAAGAACAACTGTTTTCAGTGAATTTCCTCCAATCTGCAGGACATTCCCTTTCATCTCCCACAGCAGGATACAGCCACTGGTCCCACTCCTCCCTGCACAGATACAAACAAGTCTCCACTTCAGTTCCTCTCCAATCAATGCATTAAGAACTGGAGATGCATATCCAAGGGCAGAATTTGGCCCAGAGCCATTATGTAAAGTGTTGTTTACTGAAGATTTAGCATTTACCTAAACGCCACATGAGATGAACACTGCCAAACACAAGCCATGCTTTAGTGAGCCTGGGAAGACATGTGGCAGGGTGTAACAGTGCCTCTGATGTGCAGTGCTGTTGTGTGCACCAAGTCCTTGGAATCACTTGCATATGAGGAATGTGTGCCTGAAGTGGGACACAAGAGTACAGCTCTGTTTAGCAGCACAAGCTGAAAGAGAAATGAGAACTGAACAAAGCACTATTCCCTGAAATCTGGATTTAGAAGGCTAAGTCTCATTAGAAATCAACTTTCATCATAATGCTCCTCCTCCTGATTGACAACTGCACCTACGGATAGAAAAACACCCAGGGGATTCCCCAAACCTTTCTCAAATAAAAAGGGGTTAACAAAAATGGAGAAGGAATCTCATCAAATAAATTACAGTAGCATGACAACATTTGGCTTCTTTAGTGTGACCACGTGCTTGTCCTCTGTCCTCTGGCTGTTAAGACCAGTGCAGATCCAGTTGATGTCTCTGAGAGTCAATGAGATGTCTGTGACGAGAAACGTAGAAAACTCTGCTTGCTACAAGCAAATGTCTGATCTCAGCTTCATCTGGTCACAGACTGGATGCAGACAGCCTTCTCTGGCCCCAAAATAAATAGTAGATAGGATTCTTGCAAGTTCCAGCATGTTCAGACTCAGACAGAAAACTCAGGTCCTCCTTTCTTCCCTCTCAAGAGAAGGCGCCTGATGCGAAACCCTGCAAAGGGATTGATCCAGAGGAGGGAAGGTTGACCCCCAAACACTGATTTCATTCCCTCCCAGCGCAGCCTCCGCTCCCACGTTGGCTTTTCACTCTTCAGTCTTTCAATTTCCTGCAGAGAAACAGATAGTGACATACTGTTAAACGCAAAGCTCAATGAAATCTAATAGCTGTTATCATAGAGTCATTGTGTGTTAAATCATTGTTGCAATGGAGCTTAGAGATCACCCAGCCCCAACCCTCTGCCCTGGGCAGCGACACCTCCCACCAGAACAGGTTGCTCAAGGATTTAGCCAACCTGGCTTTGAGGCTTGGAGTATCCACAACCTCCCTAGGCAACTTGTGCCAGTGTCTCACCACCCTCACAGGAAAACATTTCTTCCTAATATCTAACCTAAATCTCCCTCTTTCAATTTCTCCGCATTACTCCGTGTCCTGTCCCTGCAGTTCCTAACACAGAGTCCCCCTGCAGCTTCCCTGGAGTCCCTTCAGCTCCTGGCAGGTTGCTCTGGGATCTCCACACAACCTTCTCTTCTCAAGGCTGAACAGCCCCAACTTCCTCAGCCTGTCACTTACCTAATCAGATTATCAAACCTGATTTTGCATTTTTTATATATTACTGAGCTAATTAGTTTCTTACTGTTATTTATTTAGTAAGGAAGAAATCATAATCTGTTTTAGCCCTGAGGGTACAGAGCAGAAGACTTAGAACATAAAATGTGTACAAGCAGGTTGGTCTATCTCTACCCTCTTCCCTCTCAAGCTAAAAGCCAAAATGAGCAGAAAAGCTGATGCTACAGTAGAGGATCCTCATGCAGTAGAACTATAGTATAAGCTGTTGACTCAGTTAATGAAAGCAGACAATAAGGCTCCTGCACTGCAATTACTGGAGCCAGGAATACTCTCCCAAATGCATTATTTTGATGCTCAATTTCTGTACTTCCCACTCATTAAGGCTCAATATTTACCAATTGCTTTTCACAGTTACTCCTCAGCACAGAAATCCACTTTTAAACAGCCTCACGTAAGAAAATACTGAATAGTTACAGGACTCAAATTCCTTCTGTTTCCAATTCTGCATCCCAAAACATCCTTTCAAGGTGCAACACTGCAGATCTAAGGGCAAGGGAGACACAGGTCTAAACTATTCTTATCCTCCAATAAAATGCATCAAAGTGTAAAGGGTTGAGCCAAAACAACTACTTTAAGTGTAAACTTGAGAAAAGCAGTCACTTCCCATGGCACACACCAGGAGTCTGTGACAGCTGGAAAGTGAAACATGGAGCAGAAGTCAAAATCTTCACAATCTTTGTAATTGAAAACCTAATTGCAAGATGTATTCTGTACCCTGACACCAAATGTGTGTCAGCAAAGCAAACAGTGACCAACTTCTGCTAGAAAACAACCCCCAAGGAAGGATTTCAGTCCTTACAGCTGTAGAAAATAAAAATGATTATTCAGATGTGCAGTTTTCTCCTCATGAAATAAAACATCTAATCACATCTTCCCAAAACAACTGTTAGAGCACACAAAAAAAGCCAAAGGTCTTTACCGTTTCATCGTTGCATATTGAGTGGATTTGGGTGCCAAACATGACTGCAGTGAAAGTGAGAAACAGAAAACCCTCAAGGCACAAGAAGATCATCAGGATCACAGTTACAGGTGGGGAGAAGTCACTGCATTCTGTGAAAATTACATATGTAGTTAAAAAACAAACCTAACAGCAAATCTGTAGAGCATATTCTAATCAGCTGACACTAGAAACAGCATTTCACAGTTCTAAATACGTGACACTAGAACCAATATTTCACAGCTAAAACCAACTTCTAATTACTAGCACTAGCATTTGCTGCCCAAGGGAATATGGAATTTTACGGAAGCAATGCTTCTGGCCTCCTACAAAGCACATGAAACTGCATTTCTGCCTCAGGATTTCATGGATATCAAAGAAATGTTTGCATGTGAGGTGATTAAATCATTGGAATTGCACATACAGAAAGGTGTGAGCAGTTTGGAGTTTCATGCAAGATAGATGGTGTGGAAACCAGCCCCACTGTCAGTTCTGACTTGCTAGTTAATACAGATGTTCCTTTTGCTGTGATTGCTTTATTATTCTCCTTTCAATTCACCACCCAAAGTAATCAGGTTCTGCCTTACACTTCCAGTCTCATCTCTGGGGATCCTCAGATCAACTCATTAACTCACTTATACTTAAACAAGGAAGAGATGGGATAGTATACAGGAAGCTGAAGGTTTCAGCTAAAAAAAACAAAGCCTAAGATTGCAACCATTTAATGAACCAGTCAGCAAAAAAGTGTCACGTGGATTTCCCTGTCGCTTCAGATCCCAGGAAGAACACAGAAATAACCTTCTTCTGTCAAAGAGCAAGACCAGAATGAGCTCTGGCACACTGGAACATTAAGAAATGCAAGTCAGAGGCCTGAACAAAAAGACTGGGACAAGTTTAGGGAATTTCTTTTCTACAGAAGCATTACAGTTTGCTCCAGAAACAGAACAAGGGAGAAATTTGTTTACATTTCAGCTGTCATTCCCAGAACTGTGGTGGGACACACAAGACCCAGCTGGCAGCTCCATGGATATAGTGCTGAGGTGGTTGAGGACCAGCTCTCTGTTTCTTTCCTATGACAGAGGCAGTAAGTTACTACTGTGGGTAAAGAGAGTGAGAATGCCCTTGACAGCCACAGCTCTTACACTGTATGACTAAAGGAAAGGGGGGAAAAAAGGAGAGATGGATAAACAGATAAGAAATATTTCCAGGACATCACTTAAAAATGAAGTCCTGAAATATCCCCTACCTGGAACTGAAACAGGTGGAATGCTATGACTATCCCTTGATACCTGTTGGTTTATGACATAAAAGGATGTCTTACCAGTCCACTGCCCTCGGACACAGGAGAAGAACTGAAACCCACAGAGCACAAGTGCATGAGCTGAAATTAGGGCTATATACATCTGCAAACAAGAGAGAGGGATTACTTTTGCCTGCTGCCAGGCAGGAAACCTTTTAGCCAACCTTTCCCACTGCACAGTGAATAAACTTTCCTATTTCAATGTTTAATTCAAAGCAATTGTGTAAAAACAAATTCTAATTAAGCTTGAACCTCAAAAAGCTGGCAATAATGATAATGATTTAAGGAGCTAATCCTTTAAATCTTTTCATTGTTAATACATAAAAGGCAGCAAAATTAAGATTGCACAGCATTGCCCAAGATTAAAATGAGTAGAAATATCTTCTTGCTTGGAGAATATGTGGAATAGAGGAAGAAATAAAACCCAACCAAAAATTGGGTCCTAATTGGGCACAATTGTGCCCTTAGGACTAAGCACAAGCAAAGTTGTTCTAATCAAGGTAGATTCATCCTGAAAATAAGCTGCTGTGGATTTGCACTTACAGTAAACAGCACAAAAAACCTCTGGTTTTTCTCCCCCACACAGTTGTTCACCCAGGGGCAGTGGTGATCCATCTTCCGGATGCAGCGCTTGCAGATACTGGGAGGAGGGAAAAGAGGAATCTCTTGAGAAACACTTTACATCTGAATGTACAAACAAGTGTAGCCAATGGGCATGAGGTGATGTTCTGAAACCTTGCCTGATAAACTGCAAACACTGAGCTAAATTACTTATCTTTAAAGAAAGTGTTGGTTTTGCTCACTTTCAACTCAGCTTTGAGTTGGTACAAAACTGAGCGTGTACATAAGATGTTCTCCACAAAACCCCAATATTAACATGAGTCATTGCACATCCAAACACACCATCAAACAATCAAGGAACTTCACACACTTATGGCACTGACTGAATCCCAGAATCAATCAAGTTGGAAAAGACCTCTGAGATCATCAAGTCCAACCTATGACTTAACTCCACCTTGTCAGCTAGACCAAGGCACTAAGTTCCCCACCCAGTCTTTCCTTAAACACTTCCAGGTGATTCCACCACTTCCCTGGGTGGCACTTTCCAGTGTCTAATCACCTTTTCTGTGAAGGAATTCTTGCTAATGTCTAACTTAAACCTCCCCTGGTACAACTTGAGAGGATGTCTCTCATCCTGTCACAAGTTCCCTGGGAGATGATGTCAACCCCCACCTGGCTACAACCTCCTGTCAGGGAGTTTTAGAGAACAACAAGGTCTCCCCTGAGCCTACTCTCCTCCAGGCTAAATAACCCTATTTCCCTCAGCCTCACCTCACAGGACTTGTGTTCCAGACCCTTCAACTCTCTCCAGATTCAGTAAGCTCCTTTCACTTCTGGAGAAGCTCATTAGTCATTGTTTCAAGCCTTAAGGCTTTCAGGTTGTAAATTCAGTTTGTGAGTCAGGAAAAAGCCCAAGAAATTCACATCTTCAAGAAAAAAATTGCCATTCCTGAGGTTTTAAGTAGCCATAAAATTCTAAACTCACACAATGAAATTCTCAGCTAAAGAACAGCTGCTAATGTCACACCTCAGTTACTCAGTTGGAATCAAAAATATTGAAGCTATAAGCAGCACACATTGTGTCTATTTGTGCTTGAATACTTCAACACTACTGTTCTTTGCTAGTTCTGCAACTGATCCCTTAGTTCCTGCCCAGTTTTGAGACAGGGTTACTTCCAGAGGAGTCAAATACTCCCAAAACTCCATTTTACATCTGCTAGGTCACACAGCACCAGAAGGCTCATTGCTTTCCATCTGCAGCCGAAGTCGAAGAGTTCTACACCAAAACCAAACCACTGGCAACATGTGTTGAAGTTCTTCCATGAATCAATAGCTTCAGTAATTCTTAGATTCCATTTTCCTAGCTTTGGACTTAAGACAGCCAAACACTCAAAGCACTCCAGATATTCCTGTAGAACATCCAAAATATTCAGGATTTTCAGCAGTTACAAAGCCAAACAAGCCTGAAAAATGTACTGTTATTCAAACCCCTTTGTTTTTAACACAGGCTTGTTGATGTGTGGCATCTAGTGCTGCAGTGACAAGCCATGAAGCAAAGTTGCATGACTGGAGTGAAGAACGAGGGAGATGTGTGTGGGAAATCAATGCTCTGAGGCAGAAAACCATTGTTAAGTCATCACATATGCACAATTATAAGGGAATTCAGCAAGAGGCAGGACATACTCCTGTGCAGGTTATATGGAAGAATCCCAAAGCTCTCCCTTGCCCCTCTAAGTCTGCCTTGGCCCTGAGCTGTCACACCTCAGCCCCTACATTCCCACAGCCTCATTTTATGGACATGAAAGACATTTCATCCTCTGGTGTAAATGTTTTTTTTTAATAATGCTTGTTATATGTGGAAATCCCAAACCCAGAACTAACCATCACAGCCATTCCCTGGCACAAAACAACCAGAGATCACTGATCATACCTGAGTGATACTTGAGTACCACTGATGCCACTTCAGTGATACCTGTTTGTTCTGGCACAGAACAAGCAGGTTATCATTCAATAGAAGACATTCAGGAGGCTCTCAAAAAGACTTTCATTTCATAACCTGCTGCCTGCAAGTTCAGCCTCTAATTTTCCTGAGCTCTGCATGTGGGAAGTGAGCTGACTCCAGGTACCACAACTGTGGAAGGCTCCTACTGCAACACACAATCTATGCTGTCACTCTGAAAAGAATATTAATGTGAAGCACTGAGTAAAATCACATCCAGACTCAATAAGAGAAGAACTCTGGAGGATGTGAGGCAGGAAGGACTCACTTTTGCTCATTCAATATTTCTCACAAGCCCACACAGAGCTCTCCAAGACATCAGATGTCTGGAACTCTGCCTTCATGTCTAATCTAACACCAACAAACTCCCAGCAATGCTTAGAGCAGTGGTTCTGCCTCCTTCCTCCCCCATCACTTGTGTTTTATTCCTTCCACTGCCCAAGCACAGATGGATAAGCAGCAAGAGCTTGGGGAAGTCACTCCATGAGCTGCAACCTGGGTCATAGCACTAGGCCCAAGCACTCACACCCTGCACAAGAGGAAGAAGGATGGGGGTGAGAACAAGCAGCTGTGGATGAAAGGAAGTCTTCTCCAGTTTGGCAGTGTGCTCAGGCAGGTGCAATCACAGTTCTGAATGCCAAAGACAACATGCAGAAAGGCTTAAGAGAAGTTGGTGTGGATAACAGATATTCACAAACACCTCAGTGACTTGATTGTGAGCGAAAGTTCCCCACACTCAAGCAGGCACTCAGCAATGATGACAGCTGTGCTCCTTCAGTGCAAACAAAATCACATTCACTCAGAAGAAGCCTCTTCCTTATGCTGAAAATGGTAACTGCTTGGTAAAATCTCAGTTTAATGTATTTCACTGGAGGTAGATGCTTAAACTGTAAATAAGAGTTTCTTGTTGTATTTCCCATTACTAATGTGGATTATGAAACTATTTTCCTTCCTTAAAGGACTTTCTGTTGCAGTGTTGCACAACAATTTTCATAACTACATCATAAGAGTCTCTTCTGTTAATAATTTACTACTCCAAACAAGCACTGTGGCTTGAAGTGTAAGCATTTCCCAACAGGAACCAACTTCAATTTCCATTTTCAAGTCTTTTCTATCAGCAAATTACCACTTTGAATACTTGGGACTAGACCATCCTTTTAATGTCCTTGGAATGGCTTTGTAAACCAATAAAAAGTTGGCAGTATAATCAAACAAACTTTTCTAGCCAGTAAACCTCTGCAATGATAAATCTAGGGAAAACAATCAGATTAACAACAACAAAGACAATTAAAACAGATATCCAGCTGCTGAGAAAAGCAAGAGACAAGGCTTACAAAAGGACATCACACAGACTTTCAGCTCTGGCTTTCTCTTTCAGCGGTTCTGTGGAGTCAGTTATGCACTGAACAAGCACGACCAAGATGCACCCTTTGCCCTGATGGGGAACATCTCACAGTGTATTTTACCAAGGATTAAAACAGCTCCCAAGGCACACAAAGCTGAGTTCCTAAACAGGTTGTTAGGGAAAACAAATCCTGTGAAAGTATCAGATATTTCCTTCATTGTAGACACTAACCATTCTTGCTCTGCTTCAACAATAAATGTCACTCAAATTCCTGCTATAAACACTGTATTTGACCTCCAGGCTCTCCAATATTCCAGCTTTTTTTGGCTCATATGGAGAATTCAACATATGATGTCTTCATTTAGGGCTCCTTCCAAATTAGTACATCCTAGCGGGAGCAAAGATGTGGGAAACGCTTTAGAAAAGATACCTGCAAAATCCCTGTAGGAATCAACCTAAAGATAAACTGAGAAAATTAGCAAGCTCTAACCAGAGACTCTCAGGTGTCCCTTCAGCACATCCCATGGACATGATGCCAGAACATCTGAAGCTTTCACACAGCTATTTTGGATCCCCAGGGATTTACAGCTTATCTTGTGCCACAAGAAAGCAGCTGTGCTGCTGCTCCCACTCCCCCCAGGCTCCCTGAGCCATCAGCACAGCTGTGGCCATGGAACACTCCAGAGCTAATAAAGCCAAGCAGAAGCAAACTCACTGCACATGAAAGCAGCTCTGTACGTGCATCCATGTAAAATCTACCCTAAACCCCACAGAAATGAACTAGAGATAATTCTATACTTGCCTATTTATCTCTGAAACTTCTCCCTTCACACTCCAGATCCAAAAACCCACTCAGAGCTGAGAGAAGTACAAGATCTCAGTGCCAAGGCTGAGGATTTATAATGGGAAGAGCTGTTCAGCCATACACTCACACAGATAAGTGACACACAGTGAGACAGTGAATTTAGAAACCACAAATTCACAGAATTTGAGAGTCCTGACAAGACTTTGCTCAGTTCTTTTGACATGCACTCAGAGACTTCACTTTCATCCATTACACAGTTCCATGCACATCATTTCCCACACCTAAAGAGCCACCAGAAACATTTACATCTTTATGTAAGGCCTCCCTTTGCAGCACTTCTATTTCCAACTCACACACGATAAACAATACAAATGCATATCCACAGTGCCTGGAAACTCAAAGGATTGGGAATTAATGAAAAATGGATAAATTTATTATCTCTTCCATAGCATGTTGAGTTCAAATTAACACTTCTATGCTTATGGAATTGAATTTTCAACAAGCAGAAGTGCAGTTAACCAATTATTCAGATAAGCAGAAGTGCATTTAAACAGTTATTCAGAGAAGCTTGGGAAAATAATCTGCCAATTCAAATATATATATATATATATAT